TTATTATTATACAGTGATTATTTACTTTCTGTTTATGTATACTGTTGAATTGAACTGTGCTGGTCATTATTAAAATTAACCTATATTTTATGTTGATAATGTATGCTCCCCTATGGCAATTATGATTTTATGAATTATGAAATTATGAATTCTTTCCAAGCTATTCAAACTGCATTTATATCGCAATATTAGAGTAAATTAAAATATTGTAATATCAGTTTTTTACAATATCGTGCAGCCCTAATATACTGCAATATAAAAATTCTAAGTTACCTGACCTGTATTCTTTCTTGTTAAAAGCACAATTTGTATGGTTGTTACTGGGTATTATAGATATTTAGAGATTTTAGACTCTCTCGTATAGTGGAAAAGATGTTTAAAACAAAACCATCCAATTGTCTGCCTTTTTCTTTCTATGTTATTAAAGCTCTGCCCACATTTGTTTGAAAGAAAAGAGAATCTAAAAAGCCTCTTGATATAATCCCCCATCAAAAAAAATAAATTAATTAATAGTAAGCATTTTCTAACAGCGACACAAATACAAGCTTGTTCTTTATCTGAACTTCGAATGAAAGGATAACAGGTCAGGCACTGTCCTCAACACTCACTGGGCTGTACTCTGAGTACCTTGTTATTAAATGTGAAAACGACTACATTGTATTGAGTGGGCAGTGTATGAATCCCTCCTGACTCTTCCAGAACACAGTCGCTCATTCAGCGCGCTCTCTCACTCTCACTCTCACTCTCAATCACACTCACACACACACACACACTCACACACACACTCACACACACACTCACACTCACACTCACACTCACACACACACACACACACACACACACACACACACACACACACACACACAGACACAGACACAGACACACACACACACACACACACACACACACACACACACACACACACACACACACACACACACACACACACACACACACACACACACACACACACACACACACACACACACCTGTTGTTTCTGGGTGAGATTCAGAATCACCAACCTTAAAGAGCCAAAGCAGAAGTATGGAAATATCAGCCTCATTCACTGCTGCCAGAACTCCAGTAAAAAAAAAGAAACAACAGCATTGAGAGCAAGTATGCAGACTGACAGCATGTTACAGACAGACAGCCCATGTGCTTTTTTGCCATATGTGCCCAGATGGACAGAGAGAGAAAAAACAGACAGGGCAAAATAGATGGAGAGACCTATGTGGAATCTGATGCTATTAATAGGACGGTCAGTAAAGACATGCAAAAAGCACTCTGTATCAAGCAGTAACAGCACCTGTATGATACCAGTGTTCCCAATAGCCATGGGATGATAATCGTTTTCAAGGTATACTGCGGTTTGGAAAAGTCAAAATTTAAAGAGTTCAACAGGAAAAAAAGTTTTTGTTTTTTACCAAGACATTTAAAAAGAATATATGTTAGATCAGTAATCACAATACCACAAAACCATGATATTTTTATCCAAGTTATTATACCATTAGACTCTTATACCGGCCCATGCCTAGGTCCCAGATGCATAAACGTTACCTGCAGTTTGTAAGGTTTGCACCGATAATATTTCAAGTTGAAGCCTTCAATAAAACTTTTAAAAGTTGTACTCAATCTAATCTGTTTACTAAAAATATACTGAAACTAATCTGACTGCGCAGAGATGCTATACCCCAGACTTCCCTCTCCCCAGACACTTCCTCCAGCTCCTCCGGGGGGATCCCTAAGCGTTCCCAGGCCAGCCGAGAGACATAGTCCCTCCAGCGTGTCCTGGGTCTACCCCGAGGCTTCCTCCCGGTGGGACATGCCTGGAACACCTCCCATAGGTAAGCGTTCAGGAGGCATCTGAAACAGAGCCCGAGCCACCTCAGCTGACTTCTCTCAATGTGGAGGAGCAGCGGCTCTACTCTGAGCTCCTCCCGAATGTCAGAGCTCCTCACCCTATCCATAAGAGTGTGCCCTGCCACCCTACGAAGAAAACTCATTTTGGCCACTTGTATCCAAGATCTTGTCCCTTCAGTCATGACCCAAAGCTCATGACCATAGGTGAGAGTAGGAATGTAGATTGACTGATATATCGAAAGCTTTGCCTTTGGGTTCAGCTTCTTCTTTACCACAATGGACCAGTACATCGATCACATTACTGCTGCCACTGCACCAATTATATTATATTATATTATATTATATTATATTATATTATATTATATTATATTATATTATATTATATTATATTATATTATATTGAATACATGGAAGATAACAAATGAAAGATGACAGATGAAAGAATTAAACATGTGCTAATTGCAATTTTGTTGGCAGTTTAGATTTAAAATATTTTCAAGAGTTCACACTTAGCTGATGATTGTTAATAAAGCTTGTTTGGCATGCTGTCCCGGGAGAGAGCCCTGAGCTTATAAGATCATCGAGCCCTGGGCTCCCTCCCATTGCAGGGCGAGAGGGGAGTTTGAGCTCAGGTAGATCTCGATGACTCCCCCCTTGCTTATAGTAGCTAAGGGTCATTTATGGATGCTGAGAAGAGGTGTACTCAGAACTTGGCTAAAAATACTTTGGATTAATTGTTTAGAGTGCTTGTTTTTGAACTGTGGGAGGAAACCGGAGAACCCGTGGAAAACCCACGGGTAGAACAAGCAAAACTCTGCACAGAAATGTCGCCTGGTTTGAAAGGGAATTAAACCAGGGGCATTCTTGCTGTGAGGCAACAGTGCTAATCACAAGCCACCGTGTCGTCTAATTGAAAAATGGGGAAATAGGGATGGGTGGGGGGGTTTCTTCAAGACGAAGATATTGAAATAAGAAAAAACTTGTTATTAATAGTGAGCTAAAAAATCGTCTGATAGGGTAATTAGTCACGAGCTGATGCTGGAACAGCTGAGAACAATCATAAGCACGTGATCCTCTCGAAATTTGTTTATAAATAAACTTCACTAAGGAGTGTGAAAAAAATGTGTCACCTGTCGACACTGGTTTTGCAGATTCTGACCTATAATGGCATATACAATTTATTTTTGTTTTTTTTTAATTTACTTTTGTTCTATTTTTTTTTTTTATTTATTCATTTATTTTCTTGTCGGCTTAGTCCCTTTATTAATCCGGGGTTCGCCACAGCGGAATGAACCGCCAACTTATCCAGTACGTTTTTACGCAACCCATCTCTGTGAAACATCCACACACACACACACACACACACACACACACACACACACACAGGACAATTTAGCCTACCCAATTCACCTGTAGCGCATTGTCTTTGGACTATGGGGGAAACCGGAGCACCCGGAGGAAACCCACACGAACGCAGGGAGAACATGCAAACTTCACACAGAAATGCCAACTGAGCCGAGGATCGAACCAGCGACCCAGCGACCTTCTTGCTGTGAGGCGACAGCACTACCTACTGCACCACTGCATCGCCTCTATTTTTTTTTCAATGATAAAAAAAAAAATATTCAAATTATTATTATTAGAAAATTAAGTTGGCAGTTCATTCTGCTGTGGTGACTACTGATTAATAAAGGGACTGATCCGAAAAGAAAATGAATGAATGATTATTAGAGAACTGCTAACCTAGAGCACAGAGGCCATTCGTGCGCATGGTCAACAATCTGTTGATACTCCAGTAGCTCAGTTCAGCGAGAAGAGGCAGTTACCTTTCCAAAAGAGGAACACAGTAGCTGTTTTACCTCAGCAATCTCTGTCAGGATATCATCATGTATGGGATTGGCTTGAATCAAGTTGAGTGTGTAAAAGGATGCAAGATTAAACAGCTCAGGCAGTCATGTAGGCAAATCATGAACATAGTGCTATTTACACACTTTGAATAACTTCCACACTTCCACAGCAATGAGATATTATCATGTGGCTGTGAGTATGAGCGCCTCTGTGACGTCAAGGTCCACACCACCAGCAACTAACATTACAGACCAGCTGGAATCAGCCACAAACTCTAGAAAGTTTAAAAAACTTCCAGCCTTCAGTGAAACATGTTCAGTCCCGGTTTTGGACTGCATTTCTGTAATACTGCCAGAACTGATGGGATTGGGAATCTTTAAGAGTAAAGACAGGTTTAAATCTATTTTGCCATTGTTTTTGGAAAGAATTTGTTGATAAGATGGTTATTTTTAGGCATTATAATGATACCAAGCACACTGCTAATCCAGTGAGCTGGAGAAAAAAAACTATTGGAGAATCCATCCAGACCTGAAAATTATAGAGGCGGTATGGTATCAGCCCAAATCATGGCCTATATGAGCAGCCATAGATGGTCTAATGGTTAGCAACTTTTGAATCAAAGGTTACAGGATTGAATCCTGGCACTTGCAGAGATTGTTGGTGGATGAAGTGAATAACCAGCACTCTCTTCCACCCTCTATATAACAGTTGAGGTGAGACCCTTGAGTGAGGCACTAAACACCCAACTGCTCCCTAGATAGCCCATTTCTCTGAGTGTTTTGAGTCATTTCGTATAAAAGCATCTGCTAAATTCCTAAATGTACATCTAAATATATGGTATAAGATTCTGACAGTATGATAACCTTGGATAAAAACATCACGGTTTCACGATATTGTGATTACTGCTTTAAAATATATTCTTTAAAAATGTCTGGGTAAAAAACAAAAAAACTTTTTTCCCCTTTGAACACAATATATTTCATATTGAGAAACATTTAAAACATTTTGCGTGTCATTTAAAACATGTCAGGCGAAATAATTTAAATAAACCATTGACGTCTGGGGTCCGTTCTTCGTACGTGGATTACTCAGTTAGCTGGGTTTGGATATTGACGATTTGACACGATCCAGGATCGTTTCGTTCTTCATCCGAGAGTTGTTGTCATACAGTAGCAACAGTTCTGCTACGTCAAACCTGATCGGGAGCAGGTTCAATTCATATAAACAGGATTAGATCGGCTTAGTTCAAGCAAAGAAAGTATGTTTTGAAATCTGATATTTTCTTACAGTAGTAGTTATATACACTTGGGAAAATGGTACATATTTTTTAACTATATATATATATATATATATATATATATATATATAAAGTTATAGTCATTAATAAAATAAATAAAGTTATACATATTAATAAAACGTATGCAATCTGCACCCTCGAAATGAAAGTACAAAGATTGCCACCTGGTGGTGCAAAGAGAAAACTTATTGATATTAACTTTTTAGATCGCTTTAGTACAAATTGTGTATAATAGAAATGCACAATATGGGAATTTTTTTAAAGCAATAATACATTTCAGCAGTCATAAGCATTGTTTTGATAGTTAATATGCCGGTGGTTTGATGCTTCACAAAAGTTGCAGACGCCTTTACCAATACGAAAACACTTTTGTAAACAACCAGTTATTCTTTACACCGATTAAAAAACGGCTACTATAATAAAGAAAGTATTTTCTAAATGTGGAACTAAATACATTGATTTGCATTGAAATACATGATGAATACACTTGACACATGAAAGTGGAAAGCCTGCAGCTCACAACAAATGTGGAAGGTTATTGCGTGTCATATTTAACAAGCCGTTTACTGCTAATTTGATGTAATTTTCTGAAAAGGATAATTGAATATTAATCAGACGATGTCATTACGCTGCTGTGCCGTCAGCCAATCGTTGCATTGCTGATCATGATTTCGAGGATCGATAGATCTGTCCTTCACAACACACGCAGCGATCTCAGATCAGTTTATCCAGACATTCTAATCTGATTCGCAAACTCGTTTGAAGAACCAAATTAGCGAGAGATCAGTTATCAAGATTAAAAGATCCGGGATCTGCCAAATAATCTTAGATCATTTAAGCGAGGTACGAAGAACAGACCCCTGTAGTTTCAAAAACACTGATTTCATTACAATTTAAAACAGCATTTTGGATATCTTTTCTTCTGGAGATACTGTCATCCTAAAAAAAAAAAAACCTAAAACTTACCTAAAAATAAATAAATAAATAAATAAATAAATAAATAAATAAATAAATCTTACATATACCAACAGTATAGCAGAAGATTTTGGCAGTTTTAAAACCTTGACTTTTCCAAACCGCGGTATACCTTGAAAATGGTTATCGTCCCATGGCTATTCGTGACACCATCTAAAAGTTGTTGTATATTTAAACAAGGGCATCAACATCTGATGGTGTTATTTCCACAAAACACTGACCTAAACAACTACAAGTGTGCCATTACATTGCAGCTGCTCTGGGTCTCATAAACGCAATGACAAACAACAGTACCTACAATACGCAGTGTCATAAGATGACATACACGTCCTCATTCTCACTGTTCCACTTTGACTGAAAGTGTATCAGATGACACTGCCTGTGGTTATTATTATTGCAAGGACACGGTTTCCAAAATGACACTCATTCAAAGGTGACTTCAGTATCACGCAGCTAAATGCACACATTTCTGGGTCATGAAATCCATGTTTCAAACCAAACTTCCAAGACTCCCAACTCATCTATGACATAACAATGACAGCGCCCCAAAACATTCAGCTAATTAAATAGCAAGACCAGACAAAGTCTCACACTGAAAAGACCTGTTAGGTGCGGTGTGGTACAGGCATGGGTGGGGATGGCATTGCATTGATAATCATAGTTACAAAGAATCATATTACTTTAGACATAAGCGTAGTGTAATTAAACTAACGCAAAATAATAATAATAATAATAATAATAATAACAGTGGTGCAGTGGGTAGCACAATCGCTTCACAGCATAAAAGATCGCTGGTTCGAGTCTTGGCTGAGTAACTTGACTGTCTTGACATTTCTGTGTGGAGTTTGCATGTTCTCCCCATGTTCGCGTGGGTTCCTCCGGGTGCTCCCGTTTCCCCCAAAGTTCAAAGACATGCGCTATAGGTGAATTAAATAAGGTAAATTGGCCGTAGTGTATGGGAGTGTGTGCAAGAATGGGTAGGTGTTTCTCAGTGTTAGGTTGTAACTGGAAGGGCATCCGCTGCGTAAAACATATGCTGGATAAGTTGGCGGTTCATTCCGCTGTGCCAACCCCAGATTAATAAAGGGACTAAGCCGAACAGAAAATGAATAAATGCATGAAATAACTGGATATGAGGTGGTGGAAGCTATTCCTGGTGTACAGTAATATTTGTTAATATTAGATCTTTACTGTTGAGCTGGATTGAAGAAATTTGGTAAACTTCTTTGTAAAAATTATGCTGTACACTCATATACTGTATATAATACCACACCTATTAAATGTTTTACAAACATTCTAAATGCATGTAGTCAGTGTGAAATAACTTGAGAGTACAAATACCATTAGCAAGCACTTTCAGTAAAATAATCTGAAACAAATTACTACCTGTAAGCATTGTTAGAAAGCTTAGGGTGAGACACTGTAGAAAAAAATACTAATAATAAATAATAATCAAATCAGTTAAAAATAATACATAATTTTCATGTACCTGTTGATATTGAGATTTTAGGCTTTTCGCATTTCAAATTAAAATGCATACCTTTAAAGGCCTTTTCCAAAATTATATTTTTCCTTCAGCCATAAAAGAGCGTTAAATCTACACTTTATCAGCGCTTACATACACCAAACAATCTGTATTCAGAAGGTTGTTACAGATGTTCATATATAATATGGCTGGTTATACAACATTTATTCTAAGCCAAATTTAAAATGTATCTTTCCAGCTGTAACGTTACTCAGAATTTTCTTTAGTTTCTAAAGAGATCCCCAAATCTCTTCTGCAAAAACCTTCAATGTGTAATTGTCATTGTACTAATAATAAATATCAATATTGATAAAAAACAATGAATGTTTAAATCGGACTACATCCTTTTTTTCTTTTTAAACTGAGAACTTAACAAAAATTAAAATGAATAGAAACACTTCAATGTTCACCTGCAGAGTCTTGCCTTACCTGCTGCAACTTTTACTATCAGCCAAAATCAATAATACTGCACATTTACTGTGTGAATAGTACCATAAAACCATTAATATGATATAATTCTTCTATTTTTTTATTTAAAACATAAACATCTCTAAATGATCTGATACTGTGGTTAACGTTCATGACTTGAAACGCGCATGGCAGCAAGAAGAAGCTGACAGCTCTGCAGTTCATTCATAAAACACAGACAGAAAGTTTTACAAACTCACAATAAGGCTGTCCGCTGTTTGAAGTCGGCAACTATTCCCCTCAACTGTTTCCAAACTGCACCTTTGGAAGCACTGGAGGTCGAAATGAAAACAAACCGTGAACACGGCGTCGCGGCAATGATTTGTTTGAAGGGTTTTTACCCCGCCTTCAGTCCTCTTGAACTTGAACACACACCTTTTCAGTCCTCATGTTGGAATCAGTTCACAGAATCGGTTAGTTTGAACAGAATCTTTGTTTCAAAAAGTTGAATTGTTCGTAAGTGTGGTTTTCTTCTTCCATTTTTGTCTTTTAAAATGCTAGCTAAACGCAGCGTAGCATTGTACTTTTATATGTCTTTCAATAGCCTATATCTCGTCATAACTTTACTCTCAAAGTACGAAATGTCTTGAAAGAATCAAAAGAATCGGTTAAAAAAGCTTTCAATCGCCACATCGAAGGCGCGAAATTCATTTGCACTTGAAACATGTATGCAGTATGAAATATTAAACATGAGCACAAAACGTTTCAGTTTTGTAATCATTATAAGCGTTCAAAAAAACGATAATGCTCAATTAAGGCGCGACAGTGTGCATATACTGTGTGTGTGTGTGTGTGTGTGTGTGTGTGTGTATATATATATATATATATATATATATATATATATATATATATATATATATATATATATATATATATATATATATATATATTGCACTAGCGCAGCTTTCAAATAATTGTTATTAGCATTTTAGAAAAACAAACGGAGACGTGTGTACAGTATGTTTGTGTGTGGTCGTTGTGAGGAATAAGGTTATAAGGTTAAGTGTAGATTTTGCACTTTAGAACACTCATGTCCATGGAAATTCCCCACATTTAAAACAAACGTGCTTGTGTGTGTTTCTGTGGAAAGACTGCCACCTGTTGTCCATGCATATAAAATATCTGATGCATTTATGACAGACACTTGCTTTACTTTACTTTTAAATTTCATATCCAACATTTGATGTTGAATTTTGTCCTGTTTTTAGACAATTTTTTACAATTTTGGACCAATTTTACATTTGAAAATAATATTTTCCCATATTAATCTTTAAAAATCATAACACATTTCTTTCCTTAAAAAGTAAGTAACAATTTAGTTACTAATCAGAAAGAATAAAAGACCCAGGACTGTAATAGACTGTAACACATGTACTTTCCCCAACACTGATCCTGTCCCAGATACCCCTGCTAAAAAATCCAGCTTAAACCAGGTTTGGCTGGCTGGTTTTAGCTAGTCAACCAGCCTGGTTTTAGAGGGGTTTTGGCCAATTCCAGGCTGGTTTCCAGCCATTTCCAGCCTGGTCTTAGCTGGTTAGGCTGGAAAATGACCTGCTAAAACCATCTAAAATCAGCTTGACCCTCTTGGTTTAAGCTGGACATAGGTGGTTTTGGCCGGGCTCCCAGACTGGCTAGGCTGGTCAAGCTGATTTTTTAGTAGGTAAAAAAACATAAATCAATGAAATCACCCATTCTGAGAGGACAATATTCTGCCACAAATAAGTATGTCTGAGGTACAGTAGGATACAAGCAGGAATGAGGAAAGGAGATGCTTTTCATGTCTTGTAGGTGTAATTTATACTTATTTATATTCGTTTTTATTTTGGATGAAAATGTGTACAGCTGTACTGAAGAGTGATTGATGCTGCATCTGCTAAAGCTGGGAACCAGTCCACAAAACACCAGGGTTTCTGTAGAACTTGGGATGACAGGCTCACAGAGTACTGTATATATTTATTCATTGTTTCTCAAAAAACATCATAATAGTTCCCCACCGACATGACAACCTGTAACAACATAATGATGCACTAGAAATGTGCACCTTCTGTTGCGTGTAAAAAATAAATCAAAGCAATCGGTTTGTGAAACCAAGCTTAGTGAGTGCAGGTTAGGGTTGGCTGATACTCTGGTTGATTGATCCCTTTTATTATAATGCATAATAAAGTGAATTGATGGAAAGGCCTCTCACATCAGCCTGCCAGATACAAAGCTGACTGATGAGAGAAAACTATTAAATGGTCGTTTTCTGTTTTTCTCTGTCTTCTTCAGTGACCTGAAACAAAACATCAATAAACTGTATAAACACAATAAATAAACAGCATATAAATATGCATATGAAGAACAGAATTCAGACATTTGAACACAGGAAAAACTGTTTCATACAGCATAACCATGCTTCTCAAAGCCTTTATGCTGAGCAGGTCTAGCCAGTCCTACACCACAAAACCCGCTCCGAGCTGAGATCGAATCAGCGACCTTCGGCATGGGAGTCAGTTGCTCTACCAAATAGGCTAAAGACCATGGCCCCTAGCGTCTGTCGCTAGAGCACCTTCAGAGGTCAGAGGAGCGAGGTTTACCTGCACAGGACTTACTAGCTGGCCTCCGTTACACCTACAAGAAAGGGACCTTGTTTAATGCCCAGAACACAAGACTATTGACTACTAGAGTTGGGGTCGAGTCCACCTTTGTCAAGTCCAAGTCGAGACCAAGTCCTTAACCAGTCGAGTACAAGTCCAAGTCCGAGTCCAAAAGTGGTCGAGTCGGACTTAAGTCCGAGTCCTAAACATCCGAGTCGAGTCCGGCCGAGTCCAGACAGTCTTAAAACTCATTTATTAATTTTTCTTTTGGCTTAGTCCCTTATTTATCAGGGGTCGCCACAGCGGAACGAACTGCCAACTAGTCCAGCATATGTTTTACGCAGTGGATGCCCTTCCACCATTCACCCATTCACTCTCATTCACACTCACACACCACGGCCATTTTAGTAAATTAAATTCCCCTATAGTGCATGTGTTTGGACTGTGAGGGAAACCGGAGCACCCGGAGGAAACCCACACCAACACACGGAGAACATGCAAACTCCACACAGAAACACTCCTGGCCCAGTCGAGACTCAAACCAGTGACCTTCTTGCTGTGCGGCAACAGTGCTAAGCATTGAGCCATGGTGCCACCTATGTAAAAAAAATGTAAAATAATAATAATAATAATAATAATAATAAATCAAATATCGATATCAAATATATTTTTCTATTAACAATTAAACTGTTAAATGAATATTTTAAACTTTTGGTACATTTTTACAAAATGACTTGTATTTTTTTGTAAGCTTGCTTCAAATTAAAATGAAAATTGGAGGATATATGTAGAATTTTTATTATTTTACAAGACTCACACGTTTGACATTATTCTCATGCCACTTTCTCACATTTTTTGTTGAAATTACGCTTGCATTACCAAGGCAACAATGCATTTTTTTTAACAATAATTCCAGAGAACTCTGTTATCAGCCCCAGTGTGGAAAATGAAACCATATTCATGCAGACTGACCCAGATCTGCACAGAACATAAAGGTTCGGCAAAGAGAGAGCATTCTACACACATAAGTCTGAGAGAGCGAATTAATTTCATAGCAAAGTGATCAACAGGGCCAATCAAAAACTTTTTTTGCAAATAATTTGAAAGAATCTGCAGATTTACACTTAAAGATTTTGAGAGAACAGTGGACAAAAGACAACACATTAAATAAAATAAAAAATAAAATACATAAACAAAATACAAAACTACATAGCTTATTTATAAAATAACTAAATAAAAATTTGATGAATTTGCTCTTAAGTGTTTGGACTCTCAATAATGACTTCAAACCACACTGAACTGAGCTAAACTGAACTGAACTTAAACACTAAAATCTGAACTACCCTGATCCAGTTACTATGACCATTTATGTGAAGCTGCTTTGACACAATCTACATTGTAAAAGCGCTATACAAATAAAGCTGAACTGAATTGAATAGCCCAGTGTGAAAAAGTGCTTGTCCCCTAACCCTAATAACTAGCTGGGCAGCCCTTAACAGCAACAGCTGCAATCAAGTGTTTTAGATAACTTGCATTGAATCTGTTACACCACTGTGAAGGAATTTTGGTCCACTCATCTTTGCAGACTCATTGTAATTCAACAACATTTAAGGGTTTTTAAGCATGAACTGCCTTTTTAAAGTCATGCCACAGCATCTCAATAGGATTTAGGTCAGGATTTTGACTAGACCTCTCTAAAGTCTTTATTTTGTTTTTCTTTAGCCATTCAAAATTGGATTTGCTAGTGTGCTGTGAATCATTGTCCTGGTTCAGACCAAAGCTTGAGGTCACTAACAGATAGCCGGACATTCTCCTTCAGGATATTTTGGTACACAGCAGAATTCATGGTTCCATTTATCACAGCAAGTCTTCAAGGCCCTGAAGCAGCAAAATAGCCCCAGACTATCACACTACTACCAAACACATTTTAATGTTGGTATGATGTTCTTTTTCTGAAATATGGTGCTACTTTTACACTACACACACTGTAATAGGACACACACCTTCCAAAACGTTCAAATTTTGTCTTGTCAGTCCACAGAGTATCTTCCCTTAAGTTTGGGGATCATCAAGATGTTTCTGGCAAAACTGAGACCAGCATTTATGTACTTTTTGCTTAGCACTGGTTTGAATTTAGTAACTCTGTCATGCAAACCATGTGTCCAGTCTCTTTCTTATAGTGGAGTCATGAAAAGTCACAGCCCAGAGATATGCGGTACGCATGAAATAAATGTTTTAAAAAATAACTGACAAAAAGTATTTTAGCATTAAGTGTAATTCGATTTAATTTTACTTCATAATAATACTTCACATTTTAATATTTTATAATATTTTAAAATAGATATGCTCTATACGTATTCATTCATTCATTTATTATTTATTCATACATTTATTATTTTTTCATACATTTTCTTTTTAGCTTAGTCCCTTTATTAATCTGGGGTCACCACAGCGTAATGAACCACCAAATTATTCAGCATATGTTTTATATATATATATATATATATATATATATATATATATATATATATAAACTACATAATACCATGTCTTAAATGCTGAACTAGATATTAAAGTTTGAGGACAAACTTTATGGTGGCTTGAAAAGCCGAATCTGAAAGTTTGAAGTGGTTGAATTAGCATGTTACTAGCATGATTCTAGCATGAATTAGCATGCTACTAGGATAATTCTAGCATGAATTAGCATGTTAGTAGCATGATTCTTACATGAATTAGCATGTTGTTAGCATGATTCTTGCATGAATTAGCATGTTACTAGCATGATTCTAGCATGAATTAGCATGTTGTTAGCATAAATCTAGCATAAATTAGCATGTTACTAGCATGATTCTAGCATGAATTAGCATGTTGTTAGCATGATTCTAGCATGAATTAGCATTTTACTAGGCGGTTGCTAGGGTGTTTTAAGTGGTTGCTAGGTGGTTGCTAAGGTGGTGCAAGGCAGTTGCTAAGGTGGTCTGACTAGTTGCTAGGTGGTTGCTAGGGTGTTGCTAGACGGTTGCTAGGGTGTTTTGAGTGGTTGCTAGGTGGTTGCTAAGGTGGTGCTAGGCAGTTGCTAAGGTGTTCTGACTAGTTGCTAAGTGGTTACTAAGGTGTTGCAAGGTGGTCACTAGGGTATTCTGAGTGGTTGCTAGGTGGTTGCTAAGGTGTTGCTAGGCGGTTGCTAGGGTGTTCTGAGTGGTTGCTAAGGTGTTGCTAGGTGGTTGCTAAGGTGTCCTAAGTGGTTGCTAGGTGGTTGCTAGGGTATTCTGAGTGGTTGCTAAGGTGTTGCTAGGTGGTTGCTAGGGTGTCCTGAGTGGTTGCTAGGTGGTTGCTAAGGTGTTTCTAGGCGGTTGCTAGGGTGTTCTGAGTGGTTGCTAGGTGGTTGCTAAGGTGTTGCTAGGTGGTTGCTAAGGTGTCCTGAGTGGTTGCTAGGTGGTTGCTAAGGTGTTGCTAGGTGGTTGCTAAGGTGTTGCTAGGCGGTTGCTAGGGTGTCCTAAGTGGTTGCTAGGTGGTTGCTAAGGTGTTGCTAGGGGGTTGCTAGGGTGTCCTAAGTGGTTGCTAGGTAGTTGCTAAGGTGTTGCTAGGCGGTTGCTAGGGTGTTCTGAGTGGTTGCTAGGTGGTTGCTAAGGTGTTGCTAGGTGGTTGCTAAGGTGTCCTAAGTAGTTGCTAGATGGTTGCTAGGGTGTTCTGAGTGGTTACTAAGGCGTTGCTAGGTGGTTGCTAGGGTGTCTTGAGTGGTTGCTAGGTGGTTGCTAAGGTGTTGCTAGGTGGTTGCTAGGGTGTCCTGAGTGGTTGCTAGGTGGTTGCTAAGGCGTTGCTAGGCAGTTGCTAGGGTGTTCTGAGTGGTTGCTAGGTGGTTGCTAAGGTGTTGCTAGGCGGTTGCTAAGGTGTCCCAAGTGGTTGCTAGGTGGTTGCTAAGGTGTTGCTAGGTGGTTGCTAAGGTATTCTGAGTGGTTGCTAAGGCGTTGCTAGGCGGTTGCTAGGGTGTCCTGAGTGGTCGCTAGGCCCTTACTAAGGCATTACTAGGCCGTTGCTAGGTGGTTGCTAGGCGGTTGCTAGGGTAATTTGGGTGGTTGCTAGGCAGTTGCTAGGGTACCCTGGTTGGTTACTAGGCAAGCCTCACATACATGATTGATAAAACATTTATACTTAGTAAGCATTTCTAGCAAGTTACAGTACTGGGCTAGTCAATATTAGCATGTAGCTAGTCACTGCTAGCATGTGTAGCATATAGGAAGTTCCGTTTGCTAGCATGAGTCAAACGAGCCAATCTCCAAGTCTCTACGATGTTCTGATGCTGAGATATAGCTGTTGATGAATGGTTGCTAGGGTACTCTGTTTTGTTGCTATGGGCGAGGTTACAGAGTGAACTTGAATGTGGTTGGTTGTCTTAGTCGAATGAACCAACCCCCATGTCTCTATGACACTGCTATGCAAAGATATGCATCTTGGCCTATTTTAATGGAAGTCTATGGAATCAATTTGGGGGCGTGGCTTGTGAGCTTCATTATCATATTGAGATGCTCATTGGTTGTCTGAGTCAGATGAGCCATCCCCCAAGTCAATAGGACACTGCTATGCAAAGATATGCATGTAGGCCAGTTATTAACATGAGTCTAGTTTGAATTAGCATGTTACTAGCATGATTCTAGTACAAATTAGCATGTCATTAGCATGTTTCCAGTATGAGTTAACATGTCATTAGCATGATTAGCATATGAGTAGCATGTTGCTAGCATGATTGGCATGTCATTAGCATGTTAGAATTATAAGCATTTGATAGCACAGCTAATTACATTCTATAGGACAGTTGCTAGGGTGCAGTATGTGGTAGTTAGGGGTGTGGCTAGAAAGTTAAAAGGCCATCAGTGATTGGCTGCTGGCTAGACTGAGTTAAATGAGCTCAGCCATTAGTCTCTATGACAGTCTGATGCAGAGTTATGAGCTTACAAAGTTTGATCCCATGTTAAGTCAATGAGAGTCTTTTGTAATGGAAGTCTACGGGACAGTTGCTAGGGTGCAGTATGTGGTAGTTAGGGGTGTGGCTAGAAAGTTAAAAGCTCATCAGTTATTGGCAGTTTGGTAGACTGAGTTAAATGAGCTCAGCCATTAGTCTGTATGACAGTCTGATGCAGAGTTATGAGCTCACAAAGTTTGATCCCATGTTAAGTCAATGAGAGTCTTTTGAATGGAAGTCTACGGGACAGTTGCTAGGGTGCCATAAGTGGTTGCTAGGGAGTGGCTAGTAAGTCTAAAGGTCATCAGTGATTGGCTGCTGACTAGACTGAGTTGAATGGGGCCTGACTCTAGTCTGTAGGACAGTCTGATGCAGAGTTATGAGCTCACAAAGGTTGACTCAATGTTAAGTCAATGGCAGTCTTTTACAATGGAAGTCTATGGGACAGTTGCTAGGGTGCCAAAAGTGGTTGCTAGGGAGTGGCTAGTAAGTTTAAAGGTCATCAGTTATTGGCTGCTGGCTAGACTGAGTTAAATGAGCCCAGTTAGAAGTCTGTAGGACAGTCTAATGCAGAGTTATGAGGTCACAAAGTTTGACCCAATGTTAAGTCAATGGGAATTTTGGGAATTTTCCGGGTCGTTTTTCGGAAAACCGAAAGTCGGATCAGTCGGAAAAGATATAGCAACCCGAGTCAGACCAGTTTGAAGGTTTGACGAAAGTTTGAGGTATGAAGCTTGAAAGGGTTAGGAGGAGATAGACTTTAAAATTAGTCTCAGAAGAAAGAAGCAGAATAATAATAAGTTTAAGTGAGATAACAGTATGTTGGCTTTTCAAGCCACCATAATAATAATAAAGAATACAATTACGAATGGTTTCCAAAAGACAATAATAATTACTGGCCTATAACTATAAAATTGTTGTATAATTAAAATTGTTTTACAAGACATACAGCTATAGAAAAAAAATCCTACAAGTTATTGAATTATTATGAATTAATTGATTAAATATTGGGTCGATTTAACTTTTTTCAAAGCTCTCCACACACGCACACACACACACACACACACACACACACACACACACACACACACACACACACACACACACACACACACACACACACACACACACTGCAATAGTTAATAGAGCCCAGCAGGGTGCAGCATCTGACAGCTATTTGCCCCATGAAGCAAAACCTGAAGGAAAAGTGTAATGATACTGTTTTGGTTGAAATTACTATTACTATTATACACACCCTAGAGTTTTATTAACCACATTTGTTTGACATTTTCTAACAAACATTGATATTATTAGACTCATATTGGAAACACACTGGCCCAGAAACTTCTTTTCAGATTCTTCCATTTATTCTCTCATGATTCATCCTACAATGGAAGGCTGTGTTTTCCTTAAATTATAAAAGTCCAACGGAGGTATCTTACACCGAAAAGGAAACTCTTTCACACCATCCAACTAGGCTGCTCATTTAAAAAAAGCCAAGAGAGACTCCAGAGAGGAGGGAAGACTGCAAAGAAAGAAAAGTATTGCCTTGATCCAGTTAACTTACAGATCATTTTAAATATTTATATATAACCACATTTCACATGAAAAGTCCTCAGACAGAGAGACCAACACTTGACATCAGAAACTGCATAGAGTCTGTACAATGACCATCCACAGTGTTTAAGACAACATGGGCACCAGAAGCCCCTAAAAACAAACCTTTAAAAAACAAACAAACAATCATTCTCAGTTGAACTGTACCGGATATCACAATGCAGTCGTCTTTCTGAAATAAGCAACCCGCAGCCCTGGTTATTGAAGTCAGTATTATTCCTTAAAAACCAGCCTATTTGAATGCTATCACTCAATTGAATGGGTGTCAGTGGTTATCAGCTGATAGATATGGGGCAGTAGGGGCTTTCTGCGCCTACTGGTAGGCTCGGAAGGCTGTTACCATCCATCTACATGGTTAATCAGCTATAGATTACATAAGTTAACAATAATTATTATTATTATATTTAAAAATGATAAATAATATAATATTTATTAACTTTCCCATTAATTGTATTACATGAACATCTACTACCTCTACCTCAACCTTAAACCCACAGTAATGTAAAAACAGATCTGGAGTCTTCTCTATTAGTATTGCTGATTAGCCTACCAGTAGGCGCAGAAGGCTCCTACTGGCCCATATGTATTACCGGAAAACCACTGACGCCCATTCAATCGAGAGATAACATTCGAAGCGGGTGTTTAAAACACTCTATGTGTATTATTTAAAAAATGAACAAACCCCTCAGTCACTATACAGCTTTTCAGTGACATATGTACAGAAGCTTGTCATTACACTTCCTTAAATAAGCATTCGTTTATTCGTCTTGAATCAGTCAGAAATGAAGGGTTAAGCATGCCAACAGTTGCTATCACTTTTGGCCGTTTGTTTTTGTTACAGTAAGAGATTGATGAGATATTTGCAGGCAAATGAACACAAGATTCCGACTCATATCCGAACAGCAAACTCTCATTTGTCTCAGTCTCCGATAAAAAATAAAAGTCCTGGTGCTCCAGCACTCATGACGAAATGAATCATTAAATTAAGTTCATTTGGCAGCCGTATTCTTAAATCCTGAGAGTCTTTTTTCTCTCTGCTTTCAGTTTTTTTATTATCGTTTTCGGGTAGACATGCTTACCTCCGCTACCCGGGATTGTGTTTATTTATTTATTTACGTATTTTCAATCGGAGATGTTCTCCAGACATTCGCCACTGCAGGGAGGTTGTTTGGTTGTAGTGAAATGCGTCTCAGTGGTTTTAGAAGTTGAGCTTGGTAATGGGACGCTCTCTGCCGCTGTCTGACGTCTGGCTGTTGATGCGTTTGCGGTTGCGCTTCATCTTCGACAGGTCTTTGTCGAAAACCTCTCCAGAACGTAAAGCCGAAACAAGATCGTCAAACTCGCCGCCGTCGTCCTCTCCGTTCTCTTTGGCTTTCCGGGCCTTCCTCTCTTTCTCTCTCTGCTCCTTTAGCTGTAAAGATGACCAAAAAACAAGGGAAGATGATAGATTTGTAAGTGAGTGGGTGAAGAGTGAAGACGACTTAAGTGTTTTTGCTCAGGCATCATACAACTTTACCGATTTCACCAAGTAAGACATTTTCCTGGATTAAAATATAATGTTGTTTCTGCAACAACATTCCTATCAGCCAATCAGTATTAAGAGATATGTTAATCAATTATGTTAAGTTAGGCTTACAGTTAGGTTTATGCACTGCTACATGATTGCTAGCCAACTCTTCTTCCCCTCTGAATTTGGGGATAATTTAAAGTTATGGTTATGTTTAGGGATAGGGAATAGGTATGGATTACATTTTCAAACAAAAATTATGTTCCAGGATCAAAATTGATGTTAATCCAGCATCGCATCATACTTGGGAAAATCATGGCGTGCAGCATTATACTGCAAGTTTATTAAGTCACACTTGTATTACATGATTAAAGTGACCCAGGTCTGTTTTCTCTTTTTTTATGTAGCACAGGTCAGATATGACCTATAAATGTTCATGTAGAAAAAAGCACACACATTCCAGAATTCTCAGTTTTAGGCCTCATTCTTATCTAAAAATAATTGGCTATTAATCTGAATCTGCATTTATAATGTAAGTAGACAATGCAAACTGTACGCAGGGCCGGATTAACATAAGGGCTAGATGGGGCTGAAGCGCCAGAGCCCATGGAAGAAGGGGGCCCTTGATTGACTGGTGAATTAATTTGTGCTATGACGAGGGAAACGCCTCTTTGCATTATGCTTTCTCTCGTCAATAATGTTAAGTATTCCCAATCAAAATATTCAATAGCCCTGTTTTAGTCACCCATAAGGGTGATCAGATGTCCCAATTTTCCAAGGACAGTTCCTTATTTCGGCACTACCGCGAGAGCCGTCCAGTCAAAGATAGGCTAACCAAACTCATCGTAAAACAAAAAATACAATTTAAACAGTCTTCATCACTGAGACACTTGTACATGTAGTAACAGAAGCTGGTATAGGCAGAATCATACTGAACGGCCGCACGGCGGTTACAGCTAGACTCAAACTGGCCCGCGCTTACACAATCCTTCCATCACACAATATAACCTAGACAGTCTGCAAAAGAATTATATAGTATACACGAGCAGTTGTCAAAATATCTGTCGTTGCAGAGTATCTATCTTAAGTAAATACACTCGTGTTATGCTTTACAGTAAGTCTAACTGAACCAGTTAGAAAGCTAACTTTTTTTATAAAAATGCCATTAGTTACACAAAGAAATTAAAATAAGTGTTTCTAATTTGATATATTTTACGTTACATTATTTAGTATATATATATATATATATATATATATATATATTTTTTTTTTTTTTTTTTTTTTTTTTCCTCATGTGATGATACAGCAGACATTTCAGAAGCTTAATGAGCATTAAACTTCTTTCAGGAGGGAAAACGCACAAGTTATAAAACGTATTAAAGTCACAAAATTTATGATTTTTTCCTATTAAAATCCACTAGAACCAAAATTCACCCAAAAGCCACATGAACAGTGTTATTTATTCTCATGTTATTCCAAATGTTTAAAAACAATATAAAAAAAAATTCAGTAAAATAAGCAGTTTTAACTGTTGACTCAGACTGAATCCAGACACTACAATGATCCAGACACACCAATGATGTCATACACCCTCGATTTCCTTTTTGGTTTTGTAGAAAACATGAAAACACCAAGGGCGGCTTAATATGTTTTGCTTTTTATCAGACTACACAGAGCAGCTTTATGACAGAATCTTAAAATGTATTTATTATAGGGTTGTCACGATACTGGAATTCGGTTCCAAATGATACTAAAGTTTTAAAAACGTCCATTTCATTTGAGCATTACTCAGCACATTCTTAAACACCTCTGATTTGCCATTGTATTTACGTGCTTACAGAAATGACTGTGAGAAATTGGTTGTGAAGGTCATCAGTTCTCCAAACTCCCTCATGTTTACTGAGTATAACCACAGATACTGGGACACTTGAGCATTTTATAGTCATGTGCATCAGCTAGTTTATTTATAAGCTGACATATGAGCAATCCACTGATGAATTGTGGCTTTTAAACGCTTAAGTGTCCCTGTATTTTCAATCAGTAAACAGCGGTGAAATTAGGTAAATCAGCACTGTTTAAGAATGTGCACAATAGCGCTCAAACATAAGCGTGAATTAGACATTTTTTAAATTTCCGTATCAATTGATACCGAATTCCAGTATCATGCAACCCTACTATGATAAAACAGGGGTTCTTCTTCACCACATGATCGTAAGTGGAAGAAACGGAAGCAGTCGACTGTGGCATAATAAAGCTCAGCTGATTCCATACTGTGTCTTACTTGTTTTACATCAGCAATAGCTTCATCTCATTTCACATCAACTCCTTGTTACTCTACATCAGCTTATTCATAAATATGATTTCTGCAGTCAGAGTCCCACAGAATGTAATGAAGACCACAACTCCCATGATTGCAACACTCAGTCACTGTGTCATTTTAAGTACTTATTAAGTACCTAAGTACAAAATAAATACCTTTGTTTTTGTTGTGAATACAGAGCCTCTACAGCCGAAACTTATATACTGTGCCTTTAATACATAATTTATTATTATTATTATTATCATTTATGTTTTCCAAAAAAACATGTTAAATGTCAGACCTGAGCCTCCATTCGTGCCCTGCGCTCCTCCTCCTCTTTGCGCCGGCGTATGTTCTCGTTCTCTTGACGAGCCTCTGCAAAGGATTGCAAGAACTGGTCGAAAATCCCAAAGAACTCATCAGGCTGCATCTTATCAGCGTCCTCACCGAAGTGCTTGACTGTCTTGATGAACTAGAGAACAGAAGCAGAACTCGTATGAGAGCCATTTTCAACATAAATCCTGAAAAAACTTATTTAATGCCAAAACACTTTTCAAATGTTTTATAGACACAACAAGGAATAACAATGAAATTCTTTGTTTTTTTCTTGGAGCATATTCTATACGTGCTTTTTTTTTTTTAAATAACCCTAAATTACTGGTTTATTTATAATTTTAGTCCATTTGTGGTTTCTGAGATTTCGGGGAAATATACATTGTGGTTACTGCTCACAAATGCATCCGAGAGAAAATGTAACTGTTCAAAAAGTAATAAAATTGCTCGAAAAATGTATTGCATTTTAGAAGTATTTGAAAAAGTGAAATATAACTATTGGTAACATTTCATTAGTTTATTAGACCCTTCATTATTTACCTAGATTAATAAACTTGATTAACAATAATTAGCCAATCAAACGTAAACTACTGTAAATGCTGTTTTTTAAACTAACATTAATAAAGTTTAATAAGTGGTGTAAGAAAATCTTGTTCATTGTTGTAAATGAAAACAAATAAGACCTTGTTGTAAACTCTTATTACCCAAGTATTTAATAATTTACATATCATGCTATGATGTTGCTAGATAAAGGTAATATTTACAGCACAGTTCACACCAATGTTCAGCATAGATATAACCATAGATATGTGTTCAATTTGAGTGACACAGGTAGGACTGATTGACAAGTAGTAACTAATTGGCTCCTTAAATCACTGTGGTCTGCTATTGGTGGATTTCTTGTGATTGACAGTTTGATCCTGCCTTTAGGCAAATAAACACACCTTTGGAAAGAAAATGTCTTGGAAAGAGCATTCATTTTGATTGATTCTCCATGTGTTTGCTCTGTTTTCCCACATAGTCTGAAGATATGTGGTATAAGTGAATTAAATAAACTAAATTAGCCGTAGTATTGGCCATAGTGTTAGCCGTGAGTACAGTTGAAGTCTGAATTATTAGCCCCCCTGAATTATTAGACCGCTTGTTTATTTTTCCCCCCAATTTCTGTTTAACAAAGAGTTTTTTTCACACACATTTCTAAACATAATAGTTTTAATAACTCTTTTCTAATAACTGATTTGTTTAATCTTTGCCACGATTACAGTAAATAATATTTGACTAGATCTTTTTCAAGACACTTTATACAACTTAAAGTGACATTTAAAGGCTTAACTAGGTTAATTAAGTTAACTAGGCAGGTTAGGGTAATTAGGCAAGTTATTGAATAATGATGGTTTGTTCTGTAGATTATCGAAAAAAATATAAAGCTTAAAGGGACTAATAATTTTGTCCTTAAAATGGTGTTTAAAAAATTAAAAACTGTTTTTATTCTTGCCGAAATAAAACAAACAAGACTTTTTACCAAAAAAAAAAAAAAGACATTATCAGACATACTGTGAAAATTTCCTTGCTCTATTAAACATCATTTGGAAAATATTTTAAAAAGAAGGAAAAAAAAAACGAAAGGGGTTAACAATTCTGACTTCAACTGTATGTCTAAATGTGTGATTATATGGGCATTTCCCAGTACTGGGTTGCGGCTGGGGGTTGTTGAGTGGTTATTCCATTGTGGCAACCCCTGATAAATTAGGGACTAAACTGAAGGAAAATTAATGAAATATATATTTAAAAAATATTTACTATTTTATTGATAGATCACTAAGAAATTGTATTAGCAATGGTAATGTAGTAGTGTAATGTTTATTACCACACTGGCTTCAATGGCTATTACAAGTTAGATCAGGGTAAATCACAAATACGATGCGCTAAAAACGTTAATATAATGAAAATCTATTCCAAAAAAGATCATCGTTAAACACACACAAAAAAGCCACATAAAATACGTGAATGTACTAACCCCTTAACGTTCAACGTCCCATATTGTTACCTTGTAAAACCCAACAGTCAACTTTATCAAATAAAATGAGGGTAGTTAACTAACTTCAGTTAATTGACTGAAAATTAATTCTACTCATTTGAAAAGAGTTTTGAACACAGTGTTGAAGGTAATTAGTTTATTAAATACCTCATTACTTCAACTTAAATGGAGTAAGTTCACAATACTCATGTAGATTAGTTTTTTAACTCAAATGGTTTGTTGCAATCGGTTTCCTCAAATTGTTTGAGTTGCCTTAAGTTGTTAGGTTTTACAGAACTCAGTTGGTTTGAGTTCTCTTCATTTATTGGGTTTTACTGTGCTCAAATTGCTTTGTTTACTCAAATGGATTAAGTTCACAGTACTCATAAGGATCAGTTTTTGAATTTAAATGGTTTGTTGCAATTGGTTTTCTCAAATGGATTGAGTTACCTTAACTTTTTGGGTTTTACACGGTAGAAACGTCTTAATACTTAGTGTTAAAAAAAGGAACAGGTCAAATCTTTAAAGGTTTATACTGCTAAAAGATATAACATTAAACAAGGCCAGTACAAATTAAAAAAAAAAAAAAAACAGACTAATAAATAACAACTACAGCACTGCAAAGAGCGTGTGAACTAAGAAAGAAGTTAAAGTGTGGTGTAATGGCCAAACAGCAGCACAACAAACAGCTGGAGTCTAATGAAGTTGTAGTAAATGAAGTGTGTGACGCACTGCTAGTTATCCGGTCACCGGTAGCCGGGCATAAAGCACTCTTGTTAAGCCAGATCTCTCTAGTGACTGATTACAGTGTAAACACACAGGGGACTGGAGTCGTGCCATTGCTCTGCTGCTGCCTCGTGCCGTTTCACCACAGGAGACGAGGCCTCGCCTTCCCACAATGCCTTTGATGTGTCTTTATCACTGCCATATGGAGAAGCGGGCCTGCATGTGCCTGAGCCAAGGACCAGGTTTTTATCCCTCCTTCGCCTTGCTTTTATATCTGCTCTTATCTGTTTCAGACTTCAGACAGGAGATCTGGGTTAGGCTGGAGCTGAAGAGTATTCTGCTATACCTGCTATACCAGCGGTGCTCAAACTTTTTCTTATGAAGGGTATATATATATTGCATTTCGTAATGTACTTCAATAAAACCATAAAAACAAAAAGGACTTCAACGTTTTTTATTCACAAAAATAATACATTTTCACTCGATAGTGAAATATGTGTCCTAATAGTGTTTTTAGCATTGTGCCACACATTTATATCTGTTTTACGGTTTCAGGACCCTTTAAAAATCTGATGAATTCACAATTAATTAAAACGTTTAATTTCATTTTTTTTAGCTCAACAATTAAACAAACAAACACACAAAAGGTTATGTAAAATTAGAAATGACAATCTTTGTTTAAGGGATTCGCCCCAACCTTCCCCATTATTTATCCATCTCTTCTCTGATTGGTTGGTAGGCGGTTCATTCTGCTGTGGCGACCCCAGATTAATAAAGGGACTAAGCCGACAAGAAAATAAATAACTGAATAAGAAATAATACGGTTGAAGTCAGAATTATTACCCCATTGAATTATTATTAAACATTATATTTTTGTTCGATGGAGAGATTTTTTTTAACACATTTCTAAACATTATAGTTATAATAACTCATTTTTAATAACTGATTTCTTTTATCTTAGCCATGATGACAGTAAATAATGTTTGATATTTTTCAAGACACTTCTATACAGCTTAAAGTGACATTTAAAGGCTTAACTAGGTTAATTAGGTTAACTAGGCAGGTTAGGGTAATTAGGCAAGTTATTGTATAATTATGGTTTGATCTGTAGACTATCAGAAAAAAATAGCTTAAAGGGGCTAATAATTTTGACCTTAACATGTTTTTTAAAAAATATTATATTATATTATTCTAGCTGAAATAAAACAAATTAGGCTTTCTCCAGAAGAAAAAAATATTATCAGACTGTGAAAGTTTCCTTGCTCTGTTAAACATCATTTGGGAAATATTTAAAGGAGAAAAATTCAAAAGGGTTTAAAATTCTGAGTATTCAACTGTATACCCAGACAATATATTACTTTACACTATACTTTAAAGTTTAAACTATAAAAAATGTTAATAAAAGTATCTTTTTAGAACTTTTCAAGATTTAAAGTAGAAAAACAATGAAGAAACATCAAATTAAAGGAACCATCAAACATCAATTCAAAAGTAAATAAATGGAGGAAAATAAAAAATAAATAAAAACATGAATGACAAAATACAGAAAACTGTTCGTTTACAGCTATTTTTTGTGGTGTGTGGTGTGTCGTTGTGCTTTTAAGTGTGGCTTTATATGTCTTTTAGGTAAAAAAAAAAAAGTTTACAAATTAATATATTAAACTAAATTAAATTACTAATCATCGGGATAAAATTAAAAATGTCAGAGTGATACTGTCATGACAACATAATGAAGACAAACAACAATTTAAGAGATAAAATGTATAAAATAGATGTTTTGAAAGTTAAGTAATATAGCACAATCCGTTACTTCTATTATTATTTATTTTTTATTATTATTAACAAACATTACAAATTCTATTAAAAAATCTAAAATGTAGCATTGGCTACAATAAAACTAAGGGTTAAAATTGGCTAAATACCTAATCAACAAAACAAGAAAATATGTCAAAAATCCAGAAACAAAAGGGTTAAACCATCAAACAAAACAAAACAAAAGGGTTAAACCATCAATTAAAATGAAAGTAAAAGATTCTTCAAACTATTAATAGATAATTAAACATAAATACTAAAATATCATTAATAATTTAGCCTTCTGGGCATCACTGTGGCGCCTGATAGCAAGAAGGTCACTGGTTCGAGTCCTGGCTGGGTCAGTTGGTATCTCTGTGTGGAGTTTGCATGTTCTCCCTATGTTTGTGTGGGTTTCCTCTGGCTGCTCTGGTTTCCTCCACAAGTCCAAAGACATGTGGCACAGGTGAATTTGGTAGGCTAAATTGTCCGTAGTGTATGTGTGTGAATGGGAGCATATGGGTGTTTCCCAGTGATGGGTTGCAGCTGGAAGGGCATCCGCTGCGTAAAACATATGCTGGATAAGTTGGCGGTCCCACACTATTAAATGTTGCACAATCAATGTTGCATTTTGCCTTTCAAAAACTAAAAAAGAAAACAATGACATTTTATGTCACCGTTTCCGCTAACAGGACTGGAAGACATAGTGTAATGATCATTTTAACAACCGTCTGCCTGCCTCCGCACAGATGGAGCTCTCAAACTCAATAAGAGATGTCCTGTGGGACCCCCAGGGGCCAGTGAAAGTGCCAGGGTCACTACATAGGAAGCGTTCGCAGCGAGAGGTTAAAGGTCATCTCCTGCACGCAGAGGGACGCTTCTCCAGCTGGCCTTTGAAGATCAAGGAGCACCAGAGCATGCACCTTAAACAACCCATTCATCTACAATAACCCTTTCAATCGATACACATTGCTGATGCTTGATTAAGCATGAACACCGTTAATGTGAACAGTTCTGAGGTGCATGTGGCTTACATTCAAAACCTGTCAGGCAGATGCGAGGGAAAAACTAAGTGAGCACACATGAGAAAAACTCTACGTTACTATGCTCAGAAAAACAGGCATCACTTCCATCAGAAGTTGTGTTTTGTTATATGTTATTTATGCATTGTGTACTTTAAACGCAATATATCAATACTGGGCGACGCTGTGGCGCAGTAGGTAGTGCTGTTGCCTCACAGCAAGAAGGTCGCTGGTTCGAACCTCAGCTCGGCTTAGGTGGTGTTTCTGTGTGGGGTTTGCATGTTCTCCCTGCGTTCGCGTGGGTTTTCCTCCAACCTCCTGGTGCTCCGGTTTTCCCCACAGTCCAAAGACATGCGGTACTTGGGTAGGCTAAATTGTCTGTAGTGTATGAGTGTGTGTATGAATGAGTGTGTGAATGTTTCCCAGAGATGGGTTGCATAAAAACGTGCTGGATAAATTGGCAGTTCATTCCGCTGTGGCGACCCTGGATTAATAAAGGTACTAAGCAGACAAGAAAATGAATGAATATCAATACTGAAAATGTAGGTATGTAAAGACTGATGAAGTGGGCTAATAATCATGTAAATTCCATTTTCACATTATCCTGTTACTCCTCAGTATGCACGGCATACTCATTTCTGTTTAATTATGTTACGTTCAATCATTACAGTGTTCGTTTTCCTCAATGAAAATGGTTTGCCACAAGCAGACTTGACAGGTAGTGATGTGACTGAATGCGAGCTCTCCATTGCGTTCATCTAATGAATAAACAGCTAATGTTAACAATAATGAATGTTCCTTAGTTTTTATCTTTTAGACTAGATTTTTGTCTCATCTTTTTCAATTAACAAAAATGCACACTCAGGGTTCAAGAAAACTCAGTTTTTAAGATATAATTTTTCAGGATTTTCAGGTAATTCATAACGGAAGTTTGTCACAATCAGTCAATCACATTAGTCACATTAGTACTGAATCAGTAACTACCAATACATGTTACCATAGTATCCTTTGAGAATGATTTAAAGTCTGAATGTTTAAAGAGCCCCTATTATAGGTTTTTGAAAATGAGCTTCCATGCAGTGTGTAATACAGCTCTAAGTGAATAAAAACATCCAGCTGAGGTTTATATCTGAAAGTGTACCATGTTTAAAAATATGGATTTTTAATAAAAGATTTGGATCCCACTTTATATTAAGTTTATATTAATTGTTACAATGTACTTATTGTGTAAATACATGTATTTACTGTGTACTTAAGCTTGATTAAATACATGTATGTAATTACATCTGTAAATAACTTTTGTAATTACATTTGTAAATACACTGTTGACCATCTCTTACACCTTAACCCACCCTTAAACCTACCCATACCACCAAACCTGTCCATAACCCAACCTCTATCCCAACTCAAGAGCACCACAATTGTTCTCAAATACATTATCAACACAATAAGTAAATTGTATTTATTTTTTGATGTAAGTACATAGTAGTTAGGGCCACTTAATATAAAGTGGGACCAAGATTTGACTCAGAGTTGTTTAAATTATTCGTCAACAATTACACAAAACACACTAGCAGAGTGCGAAGGGTCATAGAATTGATCATAACATGAAGATTACCATCACTGAGAGATGGCCAGATATGCGGCTGTGGGGAACAAAGGCTTAAATTTCACTTTCAAAACAACACCAAAGCATAGTCAGGCGCAAAATCTCTGGGCTATTGTTCGTCAGTCGGGCTACCAAAATCTATCTACACCATGCCCGGCAGGCTACCTATAAAGCCTGCCAGGCATCTTGTAGATAGATTTTGTTAGCATGACTGAAATGAACAATAGCCCAGAACACCAGATTTTGCGAGTGTGCTGTGTTTGATCCTGTTATTTTTCTGATGATTGATACAATAACCTACCCTGCATCAAGGTATTCGCCGGCTGTTTATTATTTAAGGAAGTATCAGCAAAGACTACTAATGTATGGGACTTTGTCAGTAACTGTTACTCAGTTTGTATGGACCAGTTCCTTCTTCCTCCAGATCCTGTGTTTTTCCTTCCTGCACAATGTAAAGTGTGACTAAAATTGTTGCCTCATTTTGTGTAGTTTGCCAAATATGTATTTAATTGTGTGTTGTAACTTGTAATCTCTCTGCGCCGCTTGTAATCACGTATCTGTTATAGATCAGTGATTGTAATATATCTCTCAGGTTAAATCTGCATGTGTCACGATCACCAGCGATCGTAACTTATAATCACTATGGACTACAAATCTGCCATTTCTGGACTACATTTTCATACATGCACTTCGCTCACACACACACACATGCTTCCTCATTCTGACTGATTACACTCGCACCACCTGAGGATTGTCAAAGACTGATTACACACACTATTTAAACATCACACTCACTCATTCCCATTGCCGAGTCTTGTTTATCTGTAAGGTGACATTTCAATGCGGTTTCCTAGTCTTTTTTCTCTGTGTTTTGACCTTTGCCAAGTTTGTCTTTGTGTCCCAGTCTGCCGCCTGCCTTTCGACCTCTCGCCTGATCCTTTGACTACGATTCTGACCTGCCTTCATATATCTGTTTGCACCCTTGTTAACCATTGCTTTGAATTAACCTGCATGTGGATCCAAACTTCAGTTGTATCTGTCACTCCCCGTGTTACAGCATGAGCTAATTTACATATTGTGTCCAAAACCACACTGAAAATGCGTTGAGTGCTTCTTTCTTTACTGATTTAAATGCGTTTTGTGCTCGTGATCTCCTGCTGTTTGTTGCATGATGCATAAAAAGGGGTCTTTAATTGTAGTAGAACAAAAAAATTATTGTGGAGAGGCAGTGGTATTTAGGGGTGTACAATAAAATTATAAATCTTGTTTGATCTTTTGTTTTTTTGCTTGACTGCTTCAGTTTTAAATGACCCTTAGAGACCTAAAGGTATTTTGTGGGCACCTAATGGGTTTATAATATTATTTTTTTAAAGCAGTTTTATTTTTATTTTAGCAGTCAGCCTCAAGTTTCATTTATTATTTTAAACAGGAGAACCTGAAGCTTCAATCCGTAACATTTAAACGTCCTGTCTAAAATATTTTTTGGTCCAAAAACATATGAATAGACAGAAAATATTCCAGAATTTTAAGAAAAAGGTTTTTTTTAAAAAGTGGCATTCTCTAGTTATTACAAACAAAACCTCATGAAGTTTGTTAGTTTTTTTCTTTAGAAATACATGCTATGATGTTTAATACAGTACACACACACAAACACACACCAAAAAACAAATTGATGCACTCACCAGCTCTTTGGCCTCACAGAGGGAGTCCTCCACATCAGAGAAGCTGAAACTGGCCACTGTGATGAACTGACTGACCACAGACACAAACTTATCCCCGTACTCCTGAGGACGCTTCTTCTGGAAGTCCAACTCCTGCATGAGACACACAGAAAGATGGTGTTGAGATGATCCGCTTGTAAACTTGAGGAGGAGAAAAATAGGAATCGTGCAACACTTACACTCTCTACGCTCTTCAAGCCACTGCGGAGGTTATTGATCTCTTTCTCCAGTTCAGTCATGCTGGAAAGACAGTCAAAGAGATCACGGTTATTCTCAGTGATGCAGGAAAGCATGCTTGATGAGACAGTGGTGTAAGATGTGGCACTTTTGATCTAAATTCATTCATTTTCTTTTTGGCTTAGTCCCATTATTAATCAGGGGTCGCCACAGCGGAATGAACCGCCAACTTATCCAGCATGATTTTACACAGCGGATGCCCTTCCAGCTGCAATCCAACACTAGGAAACTGATTTAAACATGGATATAATAAATATTGGTAAAGGATTAGTTGTGTGTTGTGCAGAGGTTTTATTACTGTTTTATTAAATACTGAAACTATTAAATAGTATTATGAACAGAGCTTATAATTAAGGCAAAGTGTACAATAGTATTATCGTATGCAGTGTCTAACATACTTTACCATTTTTTAAATGTGCCGTTTAAGTCAAATATTTAGGTAATAAGGACTGAGTTTATAACAATCAGTTCGTTATTATTTTTAATTATTATATTCTTTATAAATTCAATTATATAAAAAACATTTTAATGTACTTGTTTACTCTAAAGCAGGGGTGTCAAACAGTTTAGTTCCAACCCTCCTTCAACCGATTTACCTGTAGGTTTCAAACAAGCCTGATGGACTCAATTAAGCTGCGGTCACACTGGACTTTTCTCCCCATAGACTTACATTCATACGCACTTAAATGCCTCAGACCGGAAACATGAGGTCATGTCATGCTGCAAGTTTCGCAGTTTGCTGCATTGGAAAGTTCAGGCTTGTTGAACTCTGGCCTGCAAAATTTCATCATATGATTGCGTGAGACCAGTCGAGGATCAAAACATGACCTCTCTGGACAGAAATTAAAAAAATGGGCTAATCGCTCGCTTTTTTTAAATGTCTGTTTATCTTATTTTATTTATTTATTTTATTTCACACGCATAAACTCTAGTGTGACTGCAGCTTTACTTTGATTAGGTGTGTTTAATTAGGGTTGGAACTAAACTGTGCAGCGCTGCTGCCCTCCAGGAACTCAGTGTGACACCTGAGCTCTAAAGCATATCCATTCTAAATTACATTTTATATATATATATATATATATATATATATATATATATATATATATATATATATATATATATATATATATATATATATATATATATACTATTTTTTATATGTTAAAAATTATTTTACAATTTAAATAACAATTATTAAAGGTTTTAAACATCTTACCCCACTCTCCCTTGACATCTAACATAATTATCTCCATATGTAGTAATGGCTGTAATGGAATTTCTAGCCCTTTATCCAAACAGGTGACACTGTTAAGAACCACAGATGGATACACAAGCAATCATCTGAACTTTAACCCTTGTGATAGCAGTAAAGTGCTTTTAATGTGTGTGAATGGCTCTATTTAGAGCAGAGCTATTCTTAGCAACAGAAATGACCTTAATGGGACTGATAGTGGCTTGTCGCCTTTCTTCCTTCATACACACAAACAAGCCATTGTAACAAACCCAACCATCAAAGTACACAGACACATGTATGATTGTGGAAAAATCTAACTGCACTTACTGATTAGCCACTCTCACTGTAGCTTATGATACATTATTTTTCATTTGCTTTCTGGATAAATTATAGTCACTCAAAGCCTGAGGCAAACAAACAGAATCTTTCATTGCAATGAGATCACGTTCAAAAATTGTCTTGTGACTTCACTTGTGGACCAAGCATGATTACATTAGTCTCACTGGCGTGACTGAAAAGCAATTTAGTGGCTGTTTTATTGTGTCCATTTTATCTGGACTTTAAAAAGTCTTTTTAAGCTTAAAATGAAAATGCTGTCATCATTTGCTCACTCTCATTCCAAAGCCATTACACTTCTGTTCCACAAAGGAAGATATTTTTCATCAAATCTAAGGATTCAGTTCACCCAAAACTTCCAAACTTTTATTTTTGCTTATATAAATTAATAAAGGTATATATAAATTTATATAGCACGTCAATAGCACCAATGCACCTAGCACAAACACCAGCTATAAGTGAAAAGGAGAGACAGTATACAGTAGAGTGGGGTAAAGATAGGATACAGCTGCGGATACACACATCAATCTAGCATGATTTTTTTGACACTGTATAACAATTAATATTTTTACAGGACTGTGCCGGTTGGTTATAGTGTTGGGGTTGGGGTAGACAATAAAAAAAAAACAATTTATTGGGTAATGTAATAAATAACTTAAATAATACTCTGTGCAACTACTGCTTTTCACTACTGTGATGGTTGAGGTTAGGGTTGGGGAGGGGGTAGATGTAATAAATTACAAGCTATAAAAAATGTAATAAATAATATAAATAATTCCCCTTAACATCTGGCCACAATCGTACCTGATCTAGCAACAACTGGCTAATGGAGTGAATTTGGCCAGGACTTACACACCAACTCTTCAAAAGAAGTGACAGGATTTTTAATAAACATAGAGAGTCAAGACATCAGTTTTTGACTCATCCAAAAGAGGGTGCTCCTTACAGTATACTGTTAAATAGTACAGCATAATTACAAAAAGACCACATTTACTGCATGCTCATGTTAGTCTGCCTGTTTTTCCTTATCCTGAGGTTGACATATTGTTGGATCCGGCCCGTATCCAGAGCAGATGGTTGTTGTGGTCATTGATAGGTCAAGAGCAAAAGACTGATTCCTGCAATGACCTCAGTGCATTGATCCCACTGGCTAGTCTAGACATCCACCTGGTGACCTACTTGCACCTACTCCATGACAGATGCTCATCGTTCTCAAGCCCTTCGGTGTCTTGAGCTGCATGTCCAACAATGTGTTTTTAACGCCAGCTGAGGATTTTTTTTTTCTGTTGTTGTGAATGACTGTGTAGTCTGGCATTGGGTGTGCATTAAAAGCTCAGTGCTGAGTTTTTGAAATGCTTTGACAGTTGGAGAAGTGCTCACAGCTGACTGTTTTTAGAATATTTTTTGCATTTCTGCAGCGCAAAAACACATTGGTGGAAACACAGCCTTAAGTCTGGTTTATACTTCTGCGTCGAGTGATCAGCGTGACCACTTCTGCACGCTGTTTGTGTTGCTCTGCAATAACACTTCCGAAACGCTAGCTGACAATAGGTTTGTAAGTTTCTCTGTGTCGAGTTTCTTCGCTGGTGTTTTGTTTTTTCTGAACCCTACTTTAATGTACAAGTAGTTCAAACTCTTGAAACGGGAACCGGTGGACATGCAACAACTTTAATTCAAAGGTAAACACAAAACAAAACTTTTCCATTTGGAGCTCCTTCACAGGAATCCACACTTGTGAACACTTGCTCCAATGGATTGACGCGACTTCCGGTCCTGCCCACACTCATCAGCGCTACCAAGCCAACCAATCACAGAGCTTGCACTATGCATCGTTGTGATGACAACAGTGGGGGCTATGCGTCTACGCGCAGACTAAGTATAAATCAGCCTTTAGACTGCAGCTCTGCCCTTTACTTTGAGCCAGCGGACAGCTGATTGAGGCTGAATCCTTCAAAGTTCTTTTCTCCATTTCCAACATATACTGTAGTTGAGTTTCTTGCCACTGTTATATCTGGCTTACTTGATTGGGGCTGGCTCCTCTTCAGCGCACTGTCCTTCAACAGTAACATTTGTATTAAATTGAACTGAATTAGTGTTAATTTAACTAGAACAAACCAGCATTCTGCAACATCTCTCCTGCCTGCCTGATATGCTGGAATGTTCTAAATCTGAAATATTGTTATTGTTATTACCTATGTTAAGCTGCTTATACACAATCTACATTGAAAAAGTGCTTTAGAAATAAAACTGACTTGACTAGTGTCCCCGTCAATATACTGGGCCAGCAGGACCCACAATTTCCACAGGGTGAACACTCCCTGCTGTTCTCACTACCACAGCAACACAAATTTCCCAGGTGGTCTCCCATCCTGACCAGGCTCAGCACTGATTATCTTCATTAGGCATTTATGAGGTCTTGGGCTGCAGAGTGATATGGCTGTGGTATAAATATAGTATCAACATGAATCATTAATCATTGAACAGAAACAAAAGGATAACAGTACCTGCTTGATGTGCAGATACTGTTTTTGTTGAAGTTCAAATCTGCACTGCACCAAAAAGAAGTAGCATCCTTGCTTTTTGAAGAAACGCAAACATTGGTTTATTCTTGATTGCGATATTTGAGGTCAATTGAGATTTAGGGTCAATTCCAAACATCTTTTTAGGAGCTTTAAAGGGCACTTTGAGAAGGGGATACCATTGGTACAGTACCTTAGGGACGTTCCACCAAGGTTTAACATCTAAATCTGTTCATGAAGGGCGCTTGTAGAAGTAATTTAATAAAGGGAAAATATCCAAGGGTCATGCACTACACCCTTTAAATAACTCATTTCAAAGACTGTCTTTTGTAGGGAGTAGGGCATAGGGGTGTTTACTTTCTTTTGGAATTTGACCTTTTTCTTGGTTGTCATGTCAGACCTTCCGCAAGAACCAAAGGACAAGAAATCTCTCCAAAAGTGAATGAAAGGCCTCAGGAGTTCACAAAAAACGACAGAATTTTCATGTCAGACTCACAAGCATAACACTCACAATTTGGCCCAAAAGTATTGGAACACACTTCACAGCAGCACACAGAACCGAAGAGGTCATGGAGGGGAGCTGCATTCACACACTCTCTGCTATCTATCTCACAGCCACTTATATATTTCAGCACCTAAAGCCAGGAGAGTCCAGGGCCCCATTTCCACCAACTATAATTTAGGGTTTCGCTCTGCATATGCGAGTAACCAAAAGCTTGTGTGACCCACAGCGTGGATTTAAGCCCAGTGGTGGGTGGGGGTGACACCGCAAAAACTATTTCCAAAATCCATTTAACACAAGTGGACCCTAAAGACCTTTAAATCCCAAAGCCGACGAAAGAAGCACACACTAGGCTCTCCACAGCTATACCTACTTGACTTTTGCAGCTTCCGGCACGTTCTTCAGCTCCTCTTGGAAGAGCATGACTTTGGAGTACTTCTTTTCCAGAATGGTGATCAGGTAGTGCAGGAGAGTGATATTCCTGCAGTGGGACAATAAAAGCACAAATATAATATCTCTAAATCTTTATTCTGTCATAAACACTGGGTTATGTCATCTCACTTGTCAATGCTGGACTTGGTGTCTGCAATCTTGTTGAGTGAGGAGATTTTGAAGCCGTATGCGTTTCCTCTTTGTCCTTTGTTCATGTAGTTTCCGAACGCCAGCACCACCTCCAGCAACTGCTTGAAATTTCTGCTGTGCAGCACCTCTTTTGAGGCTTTGGTCAGTGCTGAAAAGTAAAATACACCTTTGTATTCATAAACAGCACTTACAAGTACTAGAACAAATACAAGCGCTTATGAAATGCAGACTGCATCAAAGCTGATTAATAGAGATCAACAGGAAATTAGTGGAAACCATTATGGAAACTCAACTATGAAGAGATTTTAAGTTCAGCTCTAAAGCAGCTCTAAACACTATAGAGGGATTTAGTGTAGCTCAAATCAGAAATTCAGTCTTAAGGTCTTTGCACACTGAAGTTCAATATTTTCGTATGTGTTTTTTTGTTTTCGTAAGCGAAAAATTCATCACGTAAACCAACCTTGCACACTGAGTCCGATGCGTATTAATGAATCCATAACAAAAAAACGCAAAACATTTCAGAGTCAGTTTAAGCAGTGATACTTTCTCCTTTCTTCCCCAAAGTAGAAAAAAGAAAGAGGAATAGGCTGCGTATTGAATGTATCCAATACTGCATTGAGAGAAGGGAGAGTTCAGCTCATTATCAAAGAGCTGCGCTGGACTATTCTGAAGTTCAGGAAATCAGTGGAATTTTGATACATTGCTTGTGATACTTAATACATTTATGTACAGTGTCTTGAACAGAGACTCGCAGTAGCTATTGACCTTATTCTAAAATGCGGAAGTGTGCCTGTTTTCGCGATTGTCTTAGAACTTCCGATTCAGTCGCCTATGGGAAAAAAGACTAGGAATAATAAACGGCAGAAAATGGCCAAACTACTTGCTCAACAAACAAATGTTTGCATGACTACACAGACCAAGTAGCAAAATATAATAAGAAAATATTAAATTGCAACATCAAGCAGCGTAACGAGCAGTTGTTAACGTCAAAAAATGAATGGAAGTGAATGTGACCGGAAGTCGCGAGACAAAAAGATTCAAATGGCAGCGCCCGCTCGTCAGCTGAGAATAAGGTGAATAGACCCGGGCTATTCAATTAGTTTGTCATGAGGGCCAGTTCATGAAAAGCATTCCAAATGAGGGGCTGGAGAGATATGACTTGCAATATGAATGATGACACAACAGCATATACGTGTATTTTTGCTCTTTAAGACACCCACGTTGGCTTTTTGTACATTAAAATGATAATATGTTTTTTGAAACTACATAACATCAGTGCATTGTACAACAGGCTTTTTTACTAACATTTAAATGTTGTAATTGAAAGCACAACAGAAGCAGTGCATCACTTAAGTAAGCTTCTTCTGTATTCAGACACATTTATATGTTGTGTTTTAAACTGCATAACAATTATGGATTGCAACAAATATAAATTTTGGTTGTATGATTATAGTCTGAAGAATAATCATGATTTTACGGTTATCACATCTAATGTAAATTTAATCTTTTTATTAGCTAAATGAACTGTTGTTATCATCTGCGTTCATACATACAGTACATAATCAATGTAATAATAATTTGTCGAACATATCTTTTGTATACATTGCACTGAAAGCCATGCAGAACTCTCATCGCTACGTGTGAGATGTTTTCTACTGAGTGCACCCGGAAAGTCACGAGCGCCTTGCTCTGCCTACGCACGCATATTGGCATATATTCTTACTTTCAAAATAACGAACTTGCACGTGAAAAGACGCGATATGTGAACGGCCCGCTGCTATAGTTAATTCAGTGTGCATGTGTATTAGCCTCGATGTACAAGCTCACAACATTAAACTAGGGCACAGTTGGCATAACTTTATTTAGTTGCAGCAGTTTCTTTCTGTGCAACAGAAATGTGGCGTAGAGAAGACTTTACGATTAAGTAACTGTGACAAATTAAAGAGCAGTTAATAGTGAAATCGGCTAATCATTGCATCCCTAATATCACTATCAGTAGTTTGTACAAAAAAACCTTTTTTAAAAACATATAATTAAATGTTAGGACAGGCGGTGTAGGACCGGAAGGGTTACACTGTATTGAACAGACGCAAGTCATTTCATAACTATAGCAAACGTTTATCGACTGAACTAAATTTATTTTTGATATCTTGGTCACACTAATTGGAGGGCCGGAACAAATTTCCTCACGGGCCGAGTTCGGCCGCGGGCCATCAATTGAATAGCACTGATATTGACATTATAATAGATGGTGGCCGCGTTGACTTGTCGAAGCAACGGACTGAAAGCGCGTTTGATGCTTTCTATTATAATGTCTATGGGCAGTACGTCAAACATATGGACACACACACACACACACCAAACCGCTGCAGAGCAAATGTGCGCCAGTCACTGAATCCAGCATAGGGGTTCTCAACTGCCGCCACATTCTGTCCTTATTTTATGCACAGTGTTTGTCATAAAGTTATCTGTAGCTCAAATGACGACACTCTGTTTTTAGCTTTTCACTTGTATAGTGGCTCTGAACGGTCAAGACAGGTCTCAAAGCGCTTTTTCAGATGTGATAAGCAGAAAAAAATCGAACCCGGTTTAATTTTTTTTATGATAGACGAAAGTTTCGAAGGCAGTGTGTCAATACAATTGCCACAACGTGAGGTCGAATACATTTTTTAAAGTGCTTAAATTATAGACAAAAATTTTGAATTCAGTGTGCAAAGGCCTTCAGGTTCAAGTTTGTCACTTACAATGCAATACAATTTAAGCAGTAGAACATATAGCTTTTTATTTATTTTTTTAACCAATTTAACATTTCTTGTTAATTCTGGTTTTAAGCTTTATAGTTATAGCTTGTGTAAACTATTAGGTTTTATTTTGCCTTATTCTGTAAACAATGAATGACATTTCATACAAATTTTAAATTTTTCGTGTTGAGCTTTTTTGACACAAGATAACGAATTGGTGCTATGCTTCCAGACATGACTATGTTTTCAGGCATTATACTCATTACTGAAACTTCAGAAGAGTTAATAAACCAATATTTGATGAAATAACCACAATTTTTAATGACAACCAATGTAAAAGTTGGTAAGTAATCCTGCAACTAAACACATTAATTTGACTGAAAAATGTACAGTTTAATATTTACGGTTATTATATAATGTATTTATTTAAATTACTTGGCTAAATATGACTGTCCGTTCCAAACACAAATAAACAACTGTCAGAAAAATGTATTAAATAATAATATTCATTAAGTAATAATCACAAGCTTTAGGCATTTACAATGCACATTTACACACCTTCTACTTTAGGTTTAATTTCTGCAATCCTCTCAGCAAACTTCTTCTTGAAGTACAAAGACTGTAACCTCTGCTGGTAATGGTTTATTCTGCGGGAAGGACAAAGAAAAAGCATTGTAGCCAGGGAATAAAAAATAGAGAGAACAGAACATTAAATATAAAGCAAGGTCCATTAAAAGAACAGACCACTCCATCACACATAATAGATCCTAAATGACCTGTATAACATTTTACTGTCCAGCATGTGACACAATAAAACGCATATGATCTGTACACACAGCATTAATGTTTCCACTGAATAAAGAGCAAACAGCCTGAACCTGACGCTGCTGTGCTGTATTTAGCACTCGAGTGCCAAGGACCGTCACTTTGGTTACTGCACTCTTTACTGAGGGCCCAAACACAGTCTAGAGACTAAAACCAGACAACCCGGTGGATTGTTGGAACGATTTCCCCTCCACAGTGGAGCGAAGAAAGAAAAAAAAACTCACTAGGGTCTCATAAATAAAGGAAGAAAAAGCAAGCCAGCCAAGGCACCTGTGCTTTGTTTGGCTAATCTCCTCTGCTAGAAAGCATAAAGCTGCTGCATAGCTGCGATGAGATAGTGATTATTTAGTTTCAGCAAATATTGATGTTGAACGGGATCTGACCAGATCAATGTGTCACCCAGGATTCATAACACGTTTGTTTCCTTCCTACCTGCAGGAAATCACATTTCCTCCTGACAGACACTGCATGTGGAAAATGAAACGGAGCTGAATACGTTGGTGCACCTTTGTGGGTGGCCTTCATATGTGAGATATTCTTCACCAGGTCAGCATAAAATGTTTGAGAGTAGAGAAAGACAATAGAAACTTCTGGATGCACTTTGCCCGAAAAAAGCTTTGGTAATTAGTAAGTAATTTAGTTGAAAATAATAATAATCAAACTCAATAACTTAAGTTATGCTGATTTAAAAAAAAAACATGTCAATAAAATAACCACATTTTATTGACAGGTAACAAGTGAAGAGGTGTTGTTTTATAAGTGTTGTCATGACAGCACAATGGCACTATTGCAAGCAGCAAGAACAAGTATCCACCATATTATATCCTGTCTGTGCGTTACTTATCCAAAATTTGGTCCCACTTTATATTAAGTGTCGCTTATACCTGTGAACTTACATGGTAATTAGATGTGTAAAAACCAGTGTATGTACATACTGGTACATAGTATTTACTTGTGTAATACTGGTGTGACTACACACATGTAACAACACACTGAATACTATGTGTATGTTCAAATGTGTAACAGGGCATTAGTAACACAATTTTTGGTAAACTACCCCTTTAATATGAATTTCTGATGTGATTCTACAATTTACCTTAAACAACATATAAGCATTAGGAAATTGTATATTTCTATATACACTTATACTTTTTTTTGCCAGAAGTTTGCTGTTTTTAAACTGTTGTAGGTTTTATATATTACACAGTAATTTGTGACCATTTTACACTTTATATTGTGTGGACTGCTCCAGAGGATTTACCCTGTAATTACACTTATTTAACAAGGTAAAACCTTCTAATGCAGCGTTAGTTCTGCCATTCTTATTCTGATACAGTGTTCAGAAGTACATGGTATGCAAACAGGTGTGGAAGTGGGAAAACAGTTGCACATATTGTTGTTACACAATGCACTTATGTCATTTTTGTTACAGACGTGTACTTTTTAGTGTTGTTACCAATGTCCTGTTACACATTTGAACTTACACATACTATTCAGTTTTGTTACATGTGTGTAGTTACACCAGTAATACACAAGTAAATACTATGTATCAGTGTGTACATAAGCTGTAGTTACATAGTACTTACACATCTAGTTACCATGTAAGTTCACAGGTATAAGCGACTATAAAGGGGGACCCAGAGCAGAATATTGAGATATTTCAAACTTTGTGGCACATGTGCAAGCTAGTCAAAGATGCTCTTGTGCATTGGTTCGCACAGCAACAAACTGTGTTTGTGTGGCAGACACCGTTGAAATAAATGGGTTTCATAGCAGTGTTTTTTTACATCCCATTGTAAGCCGCTTCACTGTGCTATGACTACAACTGGATGGTGAGAGAAAAAAGCACACTAAACACTGGGCAGTGCATTTTGTCAGCTATTTTTTTGACCATTTAAAAAAAATGTCATTTTGAGCTCATTTTGGGCAGCTGAAAGTTCAGTACATCCCTAATATAAAGTTGACTTTATCTAAAAATGACTGTCTCATAATTGTGACTTTACATCTCACAAATTTGACGACTTCCTTATACACATAATCTTTATCTCATGAATGCAACCTTTAAAAAATGCTCATCTTTACCTCCATAATTCTTTATTTTTCACAATTGCGACAGTACATCATCATTACAACCTTATATCTAAAAAAGCTTTTCTTTTTCAGAACAGTTAATTCATATTAGATCTCAAAATAATGACTTTATATCTCAGAAATATGACCTTGTAGCTCACAGTTTGTACTTTCCCAAATTTACAACATGCAAGCCAATCAGCAAAGCATGGGTAGTGTGCAACAGACTAACTTACTTAAGTCATCAGATTCATTTAATTAAATGAGGCTCTTTGTGATCAAAGCAGAGTTGTTGGAGCAAAGGGAAAAGGTCAATTAAATTAGGGCTCATTCTCACTCGTGATATGTTTTTCTCGAACTTACTTTTAGACTAAATGCAGAGTAGAGTATGTTCAAACGTACTTTTTCCGTTCCTTAAAACATGAATGTGTCCTTCATTAAAATGTCGTTAAACGATCACAAAAGTTTTCGTCTTTAACTGATTAATTGTCCTACCTGCTCATTTCATAGAGGAAACGGTCTGCTTTCGCCATGCGGTCCAGCTCATGTTTGTGCTCTTCTAGAAGGTCCACGTCACTCTTCTCTGGGACAAACTTCAGCATCTAAAAAAAAAACACTCTTAATTACACCAGATTCTTTAAAAAAAATCTAACTTTATGCTACAAACATAATTTATAATAGACAAATGGTTTAAATTAGCTTTAAATCTTAGTCATGGGCCAAAAAATAAAGAAAATAATGAAAACATTCACTTATTATTCAAAATAATTAAAACATTCACTCTGAAAACATATCAACTTCATAATGACTGCACAATGTTCTACATTTTGGTGATGGTCAACTACAACTACAATCCTACAACTTTGGAATATTGCGGATGGTCTGAATAAAGAAAATATACAGTGAGAGGCAGTTCTGTGGGTGCAAATGCCTTGTTGATGCCAGAGGTCACAGGAGAATGGCCACTCTGGTTCGAGATAATAGAAAGGCAACAGTAACTCAAAAAACCACTCAGTACAACATAGATAAGCAGAAGAGCATCTTTGTATGCAAAACATGTCCAACCTTGAGGTGGATGGGCTACAGCAGCAGAAGACCACACCGGATGCAACTCTTATCAGCTAAGAAGAGGAAACGGAGGCTACAATTCACACAGGCTCACCAAAATTGGACAATAGAAGACTGGAGAAATGTTGCCTGGTCTGATGAGTCTCGATTTTCTGCTGCGACATTAGGATGGTAGGGTCAGAATTTGGCGTCAACAACATGAAAGCATGGATCCATCCTGCCTTGTATCTACGGTTCAGGCTGCTGGTGGTGTAATGGTGTGGGGGATATTTTATTGGTACACTTAGTGCCCATTAGTACCAATTGAGCATTTGTGTCAACGCCACACCCAACCACAACAACATAGTATTGTTGCTGACCATGTCCGTCTCTTTATAACCACATTGTACCCATTTTCTGAAGGCTAATTCCAGCAGGATAATGTGCCAAGTCATAAAGCATGAATCATCTCAGACTGATTTCTTGAACATGACAAGGAGTTCACTGTACTCAAAGAGCCTCCACAATCACCAGATCTCAATCCAATAGAGCACCTTTGGGATGGTGGATGGGAGATTCACATCATGAGTGCACAGCAACAAATCTGCAGCAACTGCTTGATGCTATCATGTCAATATGGACCAAAATCTCTGAGGAATATTTCTAGTACTTTGTTGAATCTATGCTATGTAGGATTAAAGCAGCTCTGAAGGCCAAAGTGGGTCCAACCAGTAGCTGGTAAGGTGTACCTAATAAAGTGGCCGGCGAGTCCGTTGTGCAGTCCTATCAGCAAGCTTTTTTGCGTTTAAATGATGTCTAATAGACATCCAAACACAGACATCTTGATTAAACAAGGTTAATCTAATAAAATGTATAACCTTCTAACAATTGTACAAAATAGAATACACAGGAATGAATGGTACACATGTGAAGTCTCTCTATTTGATGTTCAGTCTCGTTTTGGACCATAGTTTAATGTCTACTGGATGTACACTGACAGACTAAATTTAGCTTTGTTTTTAGCCAAGACATCTATGTTTGGACATCTATTAGACGTTTTAAAAGCACAAAATTGCTGGTGATGCAACTGAAAACGCAACCAATTTACCAATACCAAACTCAGTTCTCTCAAAACTGTATTTATTCTATATATTCTATATTTCTATTTATTCTATATTTTAGAAAGAGACAGAAGTGAGAGAAATAGGTTTTCCATACATGTTAGCCATGTTAAATCCATATAGGTAATTTAAATGCAGAATGTCTGGACCCTCACCTGCTCCAACATGTCCTTGGGCAGATCTTCCTGTTCATCCATAGTCAGAATGGCTCTCTTTATTTCCTCGTTGGAAAGTTTCAATCTGCAACACAAGCACAGGACGTACAGATCAAGCAGACTGGGACAAATAAATTCACCAATGACACATGAGCGATAGATTCACATCAACAGAGAACTCTACGAACTCTTATTAATCACACACAAAAAAGGAAATTGCTTAGAATTTCCCCCCCTTGCATCAGTTTTTCTTTGGCATGCGGCGTAAATAAATTAGTGTATGTTATTTAGAAGAGCTATTAATCTTGAGGCCCGATGTTGAACCCAAATGTTTGTTCCAGTTACCAAGAATTTCCTGGCTAACACCATATATCATTACTGGAGTGAAGAAGTGATATTATCGCATGACTCACATAAGTTAACCCAGCATTTGAATGCTTTAAATAATCTGTGATCGTTGCTTGTTACGTCTCATTTGTGGCCAGTTTGTCAAATTTTGTTCCTGCCCTTTCCACTGATTTGTTTGAGCTTCGTATGACAAGGATGCTGTTAAAGCAAGCTAACGATCCAGAGAAGATAAATATAACTTCGGATTTTCTTTGACAGAGACATTGAGATATGGCAGCTGTTTTAGCATTAAGTTCTTAAACAGTACTAATATTAATTTTCTACTGTTTACTTTAATAATGTAGAACTTGTGCATTAGCTGCTGGTACAACTTGATACAAGTGTTAATTTAACAGACACTACACTAAAACAAATGATGTCTGCAAAATTATTGCAAACATTTTATATGTGTTGAATTTCAACAAACAAATTCTATTTAGTAATGTTCAACTCAATTTGTTTGTTTAAATTTAGCCCAAACAAATTGTTTACAACTACTGAACTTAATTATTCAAAGTAAATCCAAGGAATCATCTTAGAAAAAAAATTCAGCTTTTTTGCTTGTTTAAACTACTTATTTAAACAACCCGGGCTCATTGTGGAAACGTAGCCCCACGGACGCTTCTGGAGACTGCGAAATACGTCCCGGGAGGTACGTTTTCGAGCAGTTTTTGATTTTGCGAATCCACGAGAGGCCGCTGTGCTCACTTTTTTGCGTTTCGGACGCCTCTCGGGAGCATGCGCCGTTCGCGCCTGCGATGTTCTCGCATGAACGATTTGCAAAAGCCGTCCAGAAAAAAACAACAAAAGCCCTCGTCGGATTTTGACCGTGTTTTCGGATCTCCCCTCCCCGCGGGGCTACGTTTCCAGAATGAGCTTGGGTTGTATTTAAAATGAGCTGAAACAACACAATTGTTGAGATTTCACTGGGACAACAGAATTTTTTATGTTCAATCCACATAAATTTGTTAAAATTGTTAAATTAACTTAATCAATTTGTGTTGGGACAACATGAATGAATTGTGCGGAACCCTGCTTTTTTATAATGAGTGCAGCATATATTAAATGGACACTACTTTTTTATTAGATGCTTGTACTTCAAGATTTCATTAGCAACTAGTAGCTTTTCTATTGTTATAATGTGTGATGAGGGTCCGTTTAGACTAATATGATTTCAAATTGTGACTAGTATTGTGATTTAATGTACTATTAGTTATTCAGTTATTACCAAGCGGCAGCCTCCCGGTCTCCCTCGGGAGGCCAATACGGAAGTAACTGAAACTGCAATTTATCGAAATTCCGCTAGTCCTGGCTCCATAATAGAGTAAATTTCTATTGAGCCCACTGATAGAATGGCCAACTTTTTACAGCCTGGTACAAAGAACGATTTAGGTTCATAAAGCTAATATTACCATTCATGACAACTGTAAGGGGGGTGAATTTTTTTATAATTCATCAGTTTCCTTTATATTAGATTATATTAAGTTTGCATAATTAAGGGCGTGGCCACTTGATTGACAGCTAGATCTCGCTGACGTTGTCACTTCACCTCAGCTGACTCCGGCAGATTAGCCACTGATTTCGGCATATTCATCCTATTTTTGTTTTGTTTTATGTGGCTTAACACAGTCAGTTGCCTTTTGGGATTATTTCCTACAATTATCAGATGATATGGCATGCTGTGTGCACTTAATTGTGCTCACAAACCATTCACGTGGCCTCCGTTTCCCATGTTAGTAAAGTTATATACTTGTAAACAATCTCGATTAATGCATTTGCTTAATTTAGGATCATTTATCATTTATAATGTTCTTTAGAGCTATAAAGCACTTCAGAATCTGACAGATTGATTAGCTGTGAATCTAGAACAGTCATCTGAAGTGTTATCATACAGTGTTATGCTAGATTTCATTAATAGCCTTGCATTTACTAACACAGACTATATGTGAAGTGTTTGGAAGTAATTTGCGTTTTCCTCCTGTAGGAAAACGTCATTAGAATACTTAGTGGCTCTGTGTATTCTTACAGTATTTTTAAAAGACTAAACACTTTATTGATATAGTGTACAGCCAAGCACATGTGGTCAGAACACAAACGAGTCGCAGGTGATAAAGTATTAAGCATTTTCCCAAAGTAAAGTGTGTCTGCCAGGTCCAAACAAAATGCCAGCATTGTCTGTAGCTCCACTCACTTCTTTTGCGCTCTTCAGAAACCTATGGGTGTTGTCACGGATACTATGTCCATATATTTTACAGTCTATGGTTATTACCATTATACTTACTACTAGTAATTAGCTACTCGTCCTTTTTTAGAAAGAGTAAATAATAATTTGATACTAGAACCTATTGCATACACTTACCTATTAAGATAGTAATTATTTTATTACATAATATATTTATTTACTAGAGATACTAATACTTATTTAGGAGCTGCATGGTGGCGCAGTGTGTAACACGTTCGCCTAACAGCAAGAAGGTCACAAGTTTGAGCCTAGGGTGGGTCAGCTGGCATTTCTGTGTGAAGTTTGCAAGTTCTCCCCATGTTAGCATGGGTTTTCAGGTTTTTCCCCACAAGTCCAAAGATATGCGCAATAGGTGAATTGGGTAAGCTAAAATTGTCCAAAGTGAATGTGTGTGAATGATTGTGTATGCATGTTTCCTAGTGATGGGTTGCAGCTGGAAGGGCATCTGCTGCGTAAAACATATGCTGGATATGTTGGTGGTTCATTCCGTTGTGGCGACCGCACTAAGCCAAAAAGAAAATGAATTAATGAATAATACCTATGCAGGGTGTCGCGGTGGTGTGGCAAGAAGGTCGCTGGTTTGAGCCCCGGTTAGGTCAGTTGGCATTTCTGTGTGGAGTTTGCATGTTCTTCACATGTTTGCATAGGTTTCCTCCGGGTGCTCCGGATTCCCCCACAAGTCCAAAGATAAGCGATATAGGTAAACTGAACAAGCTAAATTGGCTGTAGAGTATAAGTGTGAATGTAAGAGTGTTGCAGTGTTGGGTTGCTGCTGGAAGGGTATTCGCTACGTAAAACATACTGTATGCTGGATAAGTTGGCGGTTCATTCCACTGTGACGACCACTAATAAGAAAATTAATGAATGATCAATACTTATTCATGGATATTACATATAAACTATGATTATATAATAATAGTTATTGATTACCTAATACATACTAGATAACTGTAATATCTATTCTAATATGTACTAGTACATATTTATTAGTATTACTAGCATAGTCAAACCTCAATATATCTACTAGTCAAAACTGAAGGGTTGATATCCTAACACCAAATCCCCATAGAAGTGAATTGCTCAAATTTGTACTGTAACTAATAACAAAAGAATATTGCAAATATAAACTGGTATTTAATAAATGGAGTCTAATAACTAAGTGCAAAGTTCTATTTAATACGTACTAGTACTGTATGTAACAAATTACTATAGAGGTAGTATCAAATAAGAACCAATATTTAATGAATAGGTTTTACAGTCTTTTAAAAATGTACTTTCATCTAAAGGCTGATTTATACTTCTGCGTCAAGCGAACACGTATGCTTTGGCGCAGCCTTCGTGTGGTCACATAGCCCTCGCCGTGGCAGTCACCGACACGCACCTCTTACATCGCAACGATGCATACCGCAAACTCTGTGATTGGTTGACTTGGTACCGCTAACGAGTATGGGCGAGACCGAGTGCCGCGCAAACCCATTGGAGCGAGTGTTTACAAGTGTCAAGTCTTGTGTAGGAGGTCCACATGGAAATTTTTGTTTTTGTTTATCTTATGAATAAAGTTGTTGCACGTCCCCCTGTTCCCGCCTCAAAATTAGCAAGTTCGAGCCACTTGTACATTAGGCTAGCATAGGCTAGCTTCTCCCACAAAGAAACTCAATACAGAGGAACATAAAAACCTACTGCAGGCTAGCGTTTTGGAAGTGTTATTGCGCAGTAACACAAACAGCACGCAAAAATATAAATGCATGACAACTTGCAAGGCATGCGTAAACCAGGCTTAAGGAACAAGCATTAGCTAATAAATATGCACTATTTAAAGGGATAGTTCACCTAACATGAAAATTCTGTTATCATTTACTCACCCTATACTTGTTTCAAACCTTATTGAGTTTTTTTCTTCTGTTAAATACATGCACAAAGTATATTTTTGAGAAATGTTGAAAACCTGTAACCATACAGGCTTCCATAGTATTTGTTTTTTCCTACTAGGGTAATTATTCAACTACGGGCACTTTTATGTCCATTGCTCATATCTCTCTCTCTCTCTCTCTCTCTCTCTCTCTCTCTCTCTCTCTCTCTCTCTCTCTCTCTATATATATATATATATATATATATATATATATATATATATATATATATATATATATATATATATATATATATATATATATATAATTTTGTTCAAATTCCTCTTTTTTGTTATACTAACAATTAAAACTACTTAAAAAATTACAAGCTTTCTATTATATATATTTTTCATTTTATTAAACCTCATTTTAGGTGTCAAAATCCCTGTTTTCACCTTGTAGCACACCCAAAGTTTTAAACTTCAACAATAAAAATAACATTTTAAAAAATATTATTTATATGGTAACTATTTATGCATCTTAATTAAGCACTAGTAAAATAATTTAAATATTTTGTAGTTATTAATGTGAGACTATTATCAATATTAT